CCCTACAAAATCCACCTTTCGGTATATGAACCAATACCCAGTCCAAAATAGGTTCATATATAACGCATTCATATGGGGATGCAGCTGACTTTTACACCAGACTGGGAACTGAATGGTCACAGGATCCTGCTCGAGAGACAGACAGGCATGATTTGTGGGTAGATGGTTTTGCCAGAATAGCAGCGTATGTGTGTGCATGGATACAAGAAGATTTAAAGAACAGAGGGTGTTACAAAAACACTGATTTGTTATGAAATCACTTCAAAAGTGCGAAGGAGGGACATCTGATTTCTGCTATTCCACATGAAATATAACTGTACTTTATCCCTTTATATAGGTTCCAACCTTGATGATGGACACTCAGTTTTCAGAATTCACTCCAGATATCACCCCAATAATGCTGGCGGCTCACACCAACAACTACGAAATCATCAAACTGCTTGTCCAAAGACGGGTAACGATTCCACGCCCACACCAGATCAGATGCAACTGTGTGGAGTGTGTCTCCAGCTCGGAGGTGGACAGCCTGAGGCATTCCCGGTCAAGGCTGAACATCTACAAAGCCTTAGCCAGCCCTTCGTTGATTGCCTTATCAAGTGAGGACCCCATCTTAACGGCCTTTCGACTGGGCTGGGAGCTGAAGGAGCTCAGCAAGGTGGAAAATGAGTTCAAGGCTGAATATGAAGAGCTTTCACAGCAGTGCAAGCGTTTTGCTAAGGATCTTTTGGATCAAGCACGGAGTTCCCGAGAACTGGAGATCATTCTTAATCACAGAGATGATCAAAGTGAAGAGCTGGATCCCCAGAAATGTCATGATTTGGCAAAGCTAAAGGTAGCAATAAAGTATCACCAGAAAGAGGTAAGTCATCTAAATGCAAAGGTGTGTGAAGGCTTGATGTATTTGGTAAAATGATTTCCAGGTTTGCTAGCTCCAAAAGCTTTTCCCAGTAGCTGCTTTTTTTACAGGAACCAAAAGCTAGAAGCGGTTTCCTGGCTCATGAAGGCCTTGACTGCAGGAAATAATACACAATTCACTCCTGCCACCAAACACTTCCTTGCACCCATTCAATACATAAGGGCCAGAGAAACGACAGCAGCAAAAGAGAGCAGGAGAGATCAGAAGCACTCTCACTGTCCCAGGTCTCCACGTTACCAGCAGTTTTGGTAGGCGAGAATGCTGATGTGGTGCTAAGAGGTGAATCACGTCATGCGAATACTTCTTCACACCTGAAACACCTCAGGTGAATTCTTGCTCCTTGATTCATCCGTGTTTTAGGAACTGAGAAGCAATTCCCAGAAATTCAAATTCCTGCCTACAGTACCAGGAAGGAAAGACATACTTCAGCTAAAGGGCACAGAGCCTTTCAGAAGCACTGCAACTCCAGAGATTTATAAGTTGGTTCAATAAAGGCCGTGACCCCAAGGAGAATGCTGACAGTAGTTTCATTAGTTGGCTCTGGATTTTCTTTCTCCTTCCAAACTTGGACAGAATTTAGCAGATGATATATTACTGTTGGCCAGTGATATTCCAGGATATCTGAAGGAGGAATTTAGCTTGCTTGGTTGAGGAACTGAGTTGCAACATCTATTACATTCTTCTGTGTCCAGAGGGTGACAGGAGTGGCAGAAAAGCCTGCCACATTACTCTTTTCACTGTCTTCTCTGCATTTGATGCTTTTTTTAATGCCTTGACCCAGATGAGGACAGCCTGATGTGATACATCCCACCTCCCTTAATGGCTGCTCATGCCATCCAAGGTACAGTAGCCAAGAAGTGAAAGATGGAGCTTTTCCTTTCATCCCTTGCACCTGTTACACCTCCTGAGTACTGGCCCCTTGACGCACCAAGCTGGAGCTGAAGCCTCAAGCTTTCTGGGATCTAGTATGTGGTCACTTACTGGCCTTACTGGGCTACTCCAGTGCAGTGTCAGCCTTTCGCTGGCTTCATCTCATGTCTTCAGTCTTGCTGACAGGGTTAGGTAGCACCGTAAGTGCTTTAGGGCCACGAAGGTAGTGAAGAATCAGTCTGGAGAAGAGTAATATCAGGTCAAATGTTCCTCGAATCTAAGAAAGGCCAGAGGCTCTACATCTTTCTTTATACTGGCCTGGTAGCCACAGGCGCTGTGCCCACAGACACCCTTCAGCAGCTAGGACATGGCTGGCACTGCTGGGTGTAGATCACTGCTGATTTCCATGTCTTGTCACAGTTCAGGCTCACTGGTGACATCCAAGCATAAATCTGTGGCTCCCTTTGTCTTGTGTTCCCAGTAAGAAACTGCAAGTCTGAAGGTGTTCACTGTATTCGAAATGTAGCACTGAACAGGTCTGAAGCTCTTTTATTTTAAATTAACAGATTTATCATCTTTGCATGCTTGCTTGACAGTTTTAACCTCTTTTATTACCCATATTTGACTGAATTCCAAGCATATGGACAAATTCCATGTTTTTGTGACATACTCATGACAGTTCCAGCACATAAATGATAGCAAATATGCTCTGTGTTGCCAGCTAAAGGCACTGCTGTTTCCAGGTAGGATATTGGTGGGCAGGGACAGAATGAACGAGTTTGGGAAACCAGCACTAAGGAACCTCCTCATCCTACCTGGATGCATCCTGCAGGATGGTGTTTGTAATATAACAAAATATTGCTGTGGTTTTCTAACCAGTTCCAAAACAAAACACCAAGCAAGATACAAACATCACTGCCAGCTTCTGAAACAAATCAGTAGGAATATTTGATAGGGAGACACTGAGAAATGCCTTTTAATCAGGATTGAAAAGTATCAGACAGAGAATTTCTGTGAGGACAAGAAGGAAAACAGAAACAAGTTTGGTTTTGTGAAAGACAGTTCTGCAGAGAGAAACAGCAGACTTTTAAACAGTAGATCATCTTGTTCCGCTGAAGCTTTTTATGTCTTAGCGTTAAATGGGATTGGATTGAGAAGCTTTCCATATTTTAGCATTGACAAAGTTATAAGTCAGATCTTTAGTAGTCTAAGACAAAAATCCACAGTGGACCTTAGTTATTTTCTGGGGCTGTAAATTGTTACTGCAGTTGTTAGTTCTTCATATTTGGCATAAAGAATGCATAATCCTGCATTGATTCTAGATTAATTACTGGACAAATTTCCTACAGCTTTTTTCTTTTTGAATGAAATAAACCTCAAGATTTCCCCCCAAATATGAAATTATTTCGTATCAGCTTAATGGGGCAGATACGTTCAACTCCAAGATTCTTTCTAGAGAAGTTGTTAAGAGGGAGTTGATAAAGAGATCGTTGCCTTTGGATGGATGGGCAGTACAGTGTGTTTTGGGTAGGGAGTAGATCTTAAAGTTACTGTTTCTTTGTACCAGCATAAGTGATCTGGGAGCTCAAGAGTACTCTTCACCAGATACAGTGAAGTATTCAGTGTCCTTCTCTCCAAGCCATTTCAGATGAACCCACCATGCCTTTTTTTCTCCCGTTGCACTTCCATATTGAAGAGTAGGAGCCGGTTTGTTCCAGGAACAGAAAAGTAACAGGATTCAAATTTCTAGTGCAGATTGATGATCTCCAGCAGTGAATGTAGGGAACTGAAAAAAATTCCCAATGGGAAAAGCTGGACATCTATGGGCAGTTCTTGCTCCAAATTGGGCCCTTGGAGGAAAGCTGTTTAAAGCTAGTTAGGCTGCTAAATATGCAGGTAAGTGGGTAATAAGTTTTTAAACAGAGTATAATCTGATTAAGTGCCAAAATCCTGTTGGAGATTAGACACTTATCTTGCTGAGGCATTTTGAAATTCCACTGCTGAATGAGCTGCATATTTTGGCACCTAGCTACAGGAGAAAAATGTGATCTTTCATGTTAAGTTCTACCAAACTTAATTTTTTAGCAAAATTAGCAATATCAGCCCTGCCACAGACACAAATCCCTGCTCTCCACACTGAATCCAGTCAGCATCCTCATGGTATGCACAACTTTATCTTTGGATCTGGCCTGATTGCCTCAATCGTCCTTGTGATGGGGGGAACCTCTTCAGGTCAGCCCTTCCTCCAGAGGAATCCCAGCCTCATCCCAAAGGCTCCTCCTCGGTTCATATCTGAGGTAAATCCCACTGCATTTCTGCCTCATGACACAGACACTGGTTTTGTCTTTACAAGGGTAGAAAAAGCTCCTGTTCTACCTCCTGGGAGGTAAAAGTTTTTCATTTCTCCCAGTCATTACATGTGTTTAGTATGTTATAAACTGGAAATTGTGTCGCTCATGAGGAAGAAGACCTATTTCCTTTGGAGGAGGGCCAAAACAATGGAGAAGATATTTCTTGCTTTTCATGTTTGTTTTTAATAAGCCCATATATCCTAGAAAGTAAATTACTGTTTATGCAGAAGGAAAAATTTCAATTACACAAGAAAGATTAAAATGTGCCCTGAGGTAGCTTTGGAGTATATTTTATGGTAGTAAATGTTAAAACCAAGCTGTGCAATGTTCACAAGCTCCCTCTCCGTCTCATCTTAAGTATTGACTGGTTGTGTCCTCATTTTCAAATTACAAAAGACTCCTGCTTATTTCTTTGGAAGATAGAGAGGATTTAATAGTGGTGATCACTGTTTGCACGGCAGTCACAAAATATTTGAAAAAAATGAGGGCAGCTTTAGTGCACTGTGAAACACGACGAGTTAGATCCAGCACAGACACATCAGCTTTCTCCAAGTCCACTTTCAAAAGAAATTATTTTTGTAGGGTCACGGGAATTCATGGTCTAAGAGATAAGTAGGCTGTCCATAAATTCTCTGTAGTGTATGGCATTTGTCTTCATATTATTACTTTTCAAATTCTTTTATTCATGACTAATTCTGGAAGGAGAAAGGTGCTGAAGACTTAATAGGAAAAGGCACAACTCAGCTCTTGAAGATCAATCTTCACTACGCTGTTCTGGTACCAAATTAGCTCCACATTTGTTAATTTGTTTGCATTTCTAAGAAAACATGGAGAAAAGTCATCTCTTAGGATGTGGCCAGTCACATAAAGCACAGTTGTATGAACAGGTGTACCATTGCTGTATTAGAGAATCAGAGCACAGGCTGAATGCAAATACAATTTTTATGTCCTTTAAGGTTTTTTTCATTGTCAAAATGATGTAAAGCAACCATAGCATAGCAGTGAATCAGGTCTATTGGAGCAGATTTCTCCTTGTATATAACATTCTGCTAAGCCACAAGAATAGCAATACGCATTCAGCCTATTCCTGCTTTCGTGCTCTCCACCACAGCTCATTCACATCTTCAGAATGAAGAGAAACATCACAGTAGTGGGGTTTTAGTGCTTTGTATTTTTCTGGTACTGATAGTTGCAGATGGCTGTGCAGGTTGAGTTTGTCTGTAAGAAACACACACGATGCAAGGCACTCAGAAAAAGATGTATTTTACTTATGACTGTATTGCCTAGCACTTCCACTGAATTAGATCAAAGGAGTGCATGAAATTCCCTCTCAGAAGCCTTAACCTCTTACTCTCTGTACTCTAAAACAATGACAGGAAAGGAGAGAAGTAGAATTGTTTGCTTTTCTAATTTCAAAAGAGTGCTCTTTGCTGTTTGCTCTTCAGGATGAAGCTTGAAAAGTTTTAGTTCTCTTTTTTTTTCCCAAGACATTTGCATAGAAAAGTACCTCCTGAGATCCAGTACTGGAGGGAATGAATAATCATTCCTGCCATGCCCCATATTTTTCAGCTGTGTCTTGACTCTCGACAACTGCAGTGGCTGCAGTTAGAAGCACAGCATCATTCTCCGGGGAGGATGCATAAACCTGGCAAATTTCTAAGGGCGCTTCAGTCAGTGTATAAAAAGAGCTTTTAAAAATATCAAAGATGCATAAAGAAAATG